TCAGCTCTCTGCTTTGCTTTGTAAATACTGGATACTTTACTAGTACAATAAAGACAATTTTAAAAAAAATACATCACAGCATGAGAATTCACTACAATGGCCTCTGTTGTTGAATCACTGCCAAGAGGTGGGACGTTTTTGGTGCAAGTTGTGTGCGAATTAGCAGAGTTCTACTATATATCCAGATACTTTAAAAAACAAAACAAAGCAACAACAATGAAAAAAAACTTTACAAATCTTGGAAGAGACCGAGTCATATCCTCAGTTGGTGCAAAATAAGCATAACTCCACTGACTTTACCACTACTTCTCTAATTGACACCAGTTGTGAATCCGATTCCTTGTAGAAACCTAGTAAAACAGTCAAAAGCTGCCTGCTGAAATGCATCCTTAACATATGAATGTCACAAATGTATAATTAAAGTGGAGCAGAAATTCCCACTAAATGATCCCTACAAAAAATACAAAGTGTGGCCCCAAACCCGCTCAGAGCAGGACTGACCCGTGGCAAGCAAGGTGCATATTTAAAGAGCTACAGAGAGGCCTTGCTATCCAAATAACCTTTTTTTTTTTTTTTTTTTAAATAAACTGGCTGAGAATTCTATCTTTTAAGGTAGCTCAATATTTTCAAAAAGTGAACATAACTTTCAAAAACAATACTGATTAAAAAAGATGATTGATGATACCTTAAAAAATACCCAGAATATCAAACTAATTCCAGTCCAGCATTACAATTAGTTAAGAATACCTCCTGAAAATTATATCCTTACAAAAAAATGTAGGTACTGAAGTTAAAAGCATCAGAAACATCATGTACTTGAAAATACTGCCAATCTTTTAACGTTTAAAAACAAATCAGAACATTCTTTGGAATCACCAAGTTATTAAAAAATGTGAATTTCTCTACAGTCTCCCCACTCAGTCTGTATCCAGATGAAGTCTTTGAGCAGTTTAATATCCACTGTCTGAAAATACAGAGTCTCTGACCAGCAGGAGGCTACATTAAACAAGAAACATTGGCATTCTTTTTCAGTATACCAACTTCTGCCAAAAATAGAGAGTTTCGAGCACAAGACTGAATGGCCCTGTTCTAGGAGATATTTCTTTGCCTTTCTTTTCTTTTAATGCATTGTATGTGTACTTCCAGTGCAATTTTTTTTCAGCACTTGCAACAGGCGAGAAGGAAAGGGGGAGGAAAAGAAACATCTCTCCTGTGGTCTTGCTTGGAGATAACCAACAGCCGTAACACACTGAACTACCAGCTTTCATTACCGTTGAAACTAATTCCCATTGCTGGCAACTTGAAATAGCTTATTAAAGATTTCATTTTTAAGGAAAAAAGACTACAGTTTAGCATGAAATCTGGCTGTGGCTATGGTTCTATGTGCGTAAAGATTGGTTAGAGATGCTTTCCCCCTTCAGTACTGGTTGGAGTTCATTAAAAACAAGTCTGTGCCGTTTCTCCACGTGTGTCATGAAATGTGAGAAATCTGTCTGACTCTAGTTTGTATTTCCTGTCGACACAACGGGCAGGTCTCCAGTTGCAAGGCACACTCCATGCACAGGTCACTGAATGAAAAGGAGAAAAGTGCAGTTAAAGCCTGAAATTTGCAAAATAAAAAAAATTAAAAGAAAAAAAAAATCCAGGCACTAAGCAATTTATTCAGCCTGCTAGCAAAACAGTCAAGATAAGAGTCTTTCAGTGCGGAGATTAGAAATTGCCACGTCAGGTGTTGTGGATACACAGGCTTTGAGAGGAACTCCTGCTGCTCAGCATCTTACAGACCTAAAAACTGCTGGGGCAGTCAGTCAGGATTACCCTTGCATACTTCTGTTAATCTTAATGTTGTTCACTGTGGTTTGGAGAACAACAGTCCCAACACCCTGTGTGATTCTGTCCTGACTGTGTTGAGACACACTGGGCATGCTTGTTCTCTTTTTAACTTTGTGGCAGCCAGACAGAAGACCCACGGCAAACTGCTTCAGTTAGCGCTCTGAAAAACACTACAGAACTGGGCTTAACTGACTTAATTTCCTAGCAGGCTACTTCAATGCAGGAAAGCAGTATTATGGTTTCACTTCTATTGGTGTCCCATTCTTACTTCTTGGGAATCTGTGACTCGAGACAACCCATTTATTGAATATTTATTATTTGAATTTATAATGCATTTTTTGTCCTCACATGATCTGAATTTTACAGCAGAATTACTAAGCCAGGATTCATCAGCAACACCTTCGAGACCAAGGAATTAGACTTGAAAGCCCTGCGATGACGTATGTGCTTAGCCACAATGCTCTATCCTCTCCATGTCCCCCCTCCCCCCAAACATTGAAACATATTTAGGGATTAAGTCTGCTCGGGGGGGGGGGGGGGGGGGGGAGGGGGGGGG